AAGTCATCGAGTCTGAATACGACGCAGGTCGGAAGCTTGAACCAAGGGCAAATGCAATAGCAATGTACACAATCAGGTCCCAGCGTAGGTGCTCAGTTTCCATGTCTATTTTTTCAACATCAACTCGTTCGCTGTCCAATGAGCACTAGTTTCCGCTCGCTCAGTCTGCTGACACAGTGGACTGCATGCTCTTATTAAGCTTCGTACATACAGTATATTGAAATTGATGATTACCTGATTACCATTCACTACTTATATACATTGTGACATCATGAGTGTACAGCGAGAGCGTGATGCTCCAGGTTAACCACATTGAATCTTGCTCAAGGCTACCATGAAACCATTGATTCATCCAAGCCCGGGCCCAAGCCTCAGACCAATATCGCTCGTATTGCGTTGGCGGGCTCTCCACAAGTAGCGGTAGAATAGAAGATATGCGCACAGATCCGGTAGTGAGCGATGATCCCCGTCATATACTTTTAAGATTCGCTATGATTGGCCTCTCCTCCCGTCTCTGCGCATGCAATGTTATTTCGACACCGGTATCTCCCCATAGCCTCCCCTTTTCTTTGGGGGGGATGACAAGTACCGGTGGCATGCGCTTGGCGACGATGAATCCGTCGATGAGGAGCAGATGTACGCGCGCGTTCGCCGCCGGGTTCATGAAAGAAATCCTCAGGTCACGGCCACTAGTGCTGGAAGCGGATGTCAATGCGAGCGTTGGAGCAGTCGTTTAGATGGATAATTGTGCTGGAATGTGGTTGTGTGCGTGGGCCCGTACTTCTTTAATTCTTCTTTGACACATTCTTGTTCAATGAATCGTGCTTCGCTTGGAGCACGGCTTGGATCTCAGCCTAGGACCTAGATGCGGATTAAAGATTGCGCTCCTTGATCCCGGCAGCCTTTCACGTCATGTCCTTACCTATATACAATTCTGCTCTTTCATTAAGTAACCTCCGAGGGATGGAGAATTTTGGCATTGAATAGCTTGGGAAACTCGGGTGCTGACTTGCCTGGGTTAGCCTTTCGTGTCCATTTGTATGGAGATCCTGGGTAAGCTTGGTCAATAGATTTTCATAGAATCTTCTTCTCTAGAAGCTTGCGGGCTCCCTGTCATAAGGGTGTCAAAGTCTTCTAGCAACATACTAGGCACGCTGTAGGCTGGTGTTGTCAATTGTCTGGCTGTAGGTCTTGTTAAGCATGCCTTACAACACACACATCAGTCTATCACACTTCACAACACAATAAGCCTTCTTCAATCTTATGCCTAGGGCAGGAATTTTATATATATGGTTAATTTACACTGTGTTGTAAGCTCTCCTCCTGTCTCTGCGAGTCATATGGTAAGTCCATGCAGTATAAGGCGTACAGACACAAAAAAGCGTATGCAGGTGATTTCTCAACAGTTGACTCCCTGGGAGTCAATTGACACCATTAGCAAGATGTTCACCAGGAACTTAAGGACAAGCTAACCATATTATCAATAGAGATATTTTGTAAAGTCCTTCCACTACGTTCGAGTCATAGTGTATGCTCGCATAGTATTTGACCGGGTTAGACATATAATATACCTTAAGTAAACCTAGGTTGTAAAGAGATAAAAGTATTTTATTAATAATATGCTCGATAAAGCAGTCTGCAAACCTATCCTAATGCTTTCGTAAGAATATATCTAGTTTGTTCTTCACCAAAATATGATGAGTTTCTTTATATTCTTTAACCTCTTAGAGCTCTCGTAAGGTAACACCTTCTATCAAGCGATCAAATATCGACTGAGACTCTTCATCAAAGCGTATAGCCCCAGATACTTTTAAGCGATCATATGTCAACGCAGATACTTTAACATCCTCAATAGCTAAACTCCAGGCTTTACAAAAAACTATCTAGATATTGACATGATTGGTTATAGACAGGACTATAAATTTAATCTTTAAGAACCTTTGATACAATCTTCCCAGTAGATTCGATAACTTAAAATATTCTCCATTGATATTATAGAATGCTTGGCAGTCAAGAGCGTAGAGAAATTCAGGTTTGGCTTTGACTCAGAATTGCTTATCTGTTAACATATCTTTGGCTAGATCGACCTTTTGTCCGCTCTTGGGGTAGTCTATAGCTTTGGATAGTGACCCTGCCAGACGTTGATGTCTTCGCCTTTCAAGCCATCCGTGTTTGTATCCGCCAGGCACATTAGCATGTCCTGGAGTTGCGCAAAACAATCATTCCGGATATAGTCTCCAATAAACTTGCCTAAGGTTCTGATATCGAAAGACGGTTTTGTAGGATTGTCGGATTTTTGCCTAGGCTTAGAGGCTCTATCATCCACATAATTATCAGACATTAAGGTATTATAGGCTATATATGTAGCAGACATACCTATTTGTAGGCAGTAAGAAGCGTAGAGACATCCTAGCCTCTCCCTCCCCCCCTCCCTCCTCACTTACCGAAGAGAATGGACAGGACAGACAGAAAGATTGGTTGAGTCGCTAGGTTATTGCCAGGTCATTGCCAGATCGTTGCCTACGATATAGTAGGTCCAAGACAGCATAGCAGGCCCCTAGGAAGGCCCTTCCACCCAGCCTCAAGGCCTCGTAGCCGGGCACTCGGACCAGCTCGAGGGCAGCTATATCGCCTCTGGGGCCAGTAGAAAAGTCCCCCAGGGGCCCACACAGGCCGTCCCAAGGGGGCCGACACCGCACCCGCAGCCTCAATGGCGGGCCCCTGGGGAGCCCTTCCATGCCCTACCTTCTCGACGTCGCGAGTCCCCCCAGGGGCCCGCTACCTCCCTGTAGTCAGGATTGCATCCCAACAATACAAAGCCGCAATTGCTTAGACTGCCGTCTCTTAAGGGCGAGCATTGAGGCTAACTGTTGGAGAGTGGTGGAAGCTAGGAGAAGCGCGAGCAAATGGCTACCTATCACGAGGAACTATTTCTATAGGGCTAGAACGGTGAACGCGGTTACCTCGATGGCTCTTCAATTCGCAATGGACTAGAATGAAGGGGTCGTAGTCGGTGAAAATGCAGAAGCCTTTGAGAGTAAAGTTGGGGAGCTTCTCAAGTGTCGCAACGACCAAGAACGGCCTATTGGAATACGAGCAAGTCAGTCAGATTGCTTACGTCTCGACTTTTAGAGTGAAGGAGAACGGGAGCGACGTAGACTAGAGTACTGACGTTAGATATATAGTGGAATTGAATTTCATTGTCACTTTGGGGTGGTCGCTGGTGGGTTATTTTCTATAGTGCTGGATGTTTCTTGTTGGGTTTGTAAGCTTTTGGCTACTTTTATCTTTCTTGATATTTGACAAGGGGGTTCGACAGATCGAGGAGGTTCTGTGGTTTGTGCTGATGTATGGCTATATTTCCAGTAAAAATTACTCTCCTTGATTATTGATTGGATGTCTCTTAGGCATTAGGCTGTAGTATGCAAATGCTTCAGCAATAACCTTTAAATTATCTTCCGGGATAAATATATCTCAACGATATGATCTGTATCGCCACTACAGCTGATCCTACTAAGAATCTTACTTCGCCAACACTCCCACTAAACTGTAATGGGTAAGCCAAACGAGCGGTTACCCTAGACAGGCCTCCCGGCGTTTATATTGGGCTTAGTTCCACATCCTACGCTGCAGTTGATCAGACCCAAAAGCTTGAGGATTCGAAAGGATCCAGAGAAGACCAAGGGCGGTACGGTATCCAGGTGCAACTTTTGGGATATAAGAAGCTATATGCAGCTATAGCTTTCAATCAATAACCTGATAGACTCACAATATTTTCGCGCGCTATATTTAAAGCCGGTTCATTTCCGAGTTTTTGTCTGTATGCACTTCGAATTACCGTAGAAGTCCTCATCTAACATTTAGCAGGACAAGACCCATCACAATGACTTCCAAACGGGTTGAAACAGCACTGGCTTTTATTGGGCATTATACCTCTATTGATGCAGACATTCTGGAGAGTGTTCTGGCTGATAACTGCATTTACGATTATGCTCCCCGTTCGATCCCTACTCCGGGGCCTTTTGATAAAAAGGGCATAGTCGGTGTTACTCGCCACATGAACACCATCTTGACAGGTTATCCTATGGTGGTACAGGAACTACTTGAAAGTGAGAAAAGTAACGCTGTTACTCTCTGGGTTACTGGAGAGGCGACCTTCCGCGAGGAGGTTAGGGATGCTGGGCTTGCAGCGGAAGAATGGATGCACAAGGGAGAATACATTTACCTGTTGTACATGGACGAAACAGGGGAGAAGATTACGAGGGTTATGGAGTTTGTGGATAGCAGAGTCACAATTGATCACATGGTGGTGCTCGTCGACAGAGCAAACGAAAACCTCGCGAAGAAAAATAAACCTGCCGCTAATGAATAGCAGCCGTCTTTGCTTGGCCACAGCTTTTCTTTTGTATTTATGATTCCTACTATATGAAGAATAGAAAGCAACATTATCATTTGCTAACCCAAAGATGCTAGTTTCAATCTACTCATTTTACTCTACTTAGTAACCTCTATCTTACACCTAAGTAAATGCCGTAATAGATACTCCACTATTCTCTGTGTTGTTGTTTGCTAGATCCTTGAGCTCACTAGCAAAGTTGCGGGCATCATCGGCCATCAAAGTACTGACACATAAGACGAGTGTCCACACTTATCGCAAGTCTGCTACTAGTCGAGAAATTGATTGAGCAGGCTTAGCATACGGGCTATAATGTATATTTTGAACAGGCTTCTCTTTCGCTTGAAGGCTACACACAGCGCTAATTTATATTTTATGATCTAGAACGATATTCAATGTGCAGACTTATCCGCCGACGGGCATCTCAGCTTGTGGATTGATCGCGGTCGGAACACGGCCAATCTTCATGAATTTAGTCAGCTATCAGTCCCACCCTACTACCGAAGTATTTAGCCATCACTCATAGGAACATAGCATAGGTTGACCGCCATATTCTTTTTGGCAATGCTCCTCCGGTGTCATCCAAATTCTATCTTCACTAAGCATGGGCAAATATCAAATAAGCCCCGGGTCATTCTCATCACTTGAGAATCAAGTAATTGTACTCACAGGTATGGCAGCCATAATTTCCGTGCGATGAACACGAGCTAGAAAGGCCTGATGGTCTTCCGCTTTTGAGCGCACACCTCAACATGCATGTCAACGGCGAATTGACTAACAACTTCTAACAGGAGGTGCTCATGGTGTTGGGGAGTCCATTGTCCGCGATCTTTATCAAGTCGGTGCCCATGTGGTCTTCGGCGATATCGACCATGCAGGCTGCGAGCGGTTAGTTCGCGAACTAAAGACTGACTACCCCCAAGCAACGGGAACAGTCATATTTCGGCGCGTTGATGTGCGGAGCTACGATGATAACCTGGCTCTCTTCCGTGCCGCTTACGAGAAGCACCGCCACGTTGATCACGCTCTTTCGATTGCAGGAGTCACTGAGGGCGAGAATTGGTTCGACGCCACGCTGGATCTTGAGACAGTAGAGCGCCAGCCTTCCACTGCTGTTCTTGATATCAACTTGCTGGGAGCACTCTACTTCTCCCGCATCGCTGCTGTATACCTTCGCCAAGGCAACGATAGCAAAAAGGACAAGTCGCTACTATTGACAGGCTCATTAGCTGCTTTCAAAGAACAAGCAGGATTGTTTGTATACTCACCAGCTAAACATGGTGTCATGGGTCTCTTCAGATCTATTCGAAGAAACCTCTATTGCTTACATGGCATCAGAGTGAACATTCTGTGTCCCTCGCTAATTCGAACCGCAATGGCGTCAAAAGTCGAACATATCTGGGAAGAACGAGGACTACCTATCAACACAGCAAAGGAAGTCGGAGATGTTGCCATAAATTTCACTGCCCTGCCCAAGCAAAAAGACGGCGAGATTCACACAAACCTGGCTGTATATGTCGAGGGGGGAAAGGCTTGGGAATTTGAATCGGTACTTCATGAGCTAGATAACCAATGGCTTAGTGAGAATATGTCGAAAAACTGCAAGGCGATTGACGATGCCCTCGGTGTTGGTTCAGGATGGACAACCGAGAAGCCTTCGAATTGAAGAAATTACACGCTATCTCCTTTCGAGTTAACGAAATATATTTATTACAAAGATAGCAAAAAGTGTTGTTCTGAATGCAGATACGATGATGGTCTTGTCATGCATTACCATATGTACCTGAATGACCAAAGTAGTTTAATAACGCCGACTGAATGCAATCGTCGTTGCTTAGGATATGTGATCTTAGCTAAAACTATTCATCTATCTATGCCAATGGTGATGCTCATGAGGGTATATGTACGTTTGTTATCCTCCACGCTTGCTCGGGCATACTAGACTTCCTTCCGTCAGAGTTCAACACGTTATGAGTGGTGTTCATTCCCATTATAGAGAGGCTGAAAGTTCTATTACAAGGACTGCTACCCATGTGCTTTCCTGAAATGAATTGTATTCACGATTTGGCATGCGATATTTTCGGTGCTGCCTTAAGATAGGGAGAAAGACGAAGGCATTGCAGATACTGTACCGTAACGTTGGAAAAGTCAACAAACATGTTTCAATTTCATTATGCCCGTTTATCCAAGACAGAAAAAAAAGATCTAAGAGAAGAATATCTATTATGACCCTTCAAATGGCATGCGGCGCAGACATATCCACCTCATTCAAAGCTGGTTGGCCGAGCTACTTCAGAACCTCGGCCTTGCGCATCTACAGTGGGGCAATTGATAGGCGTCCGTCGGGCAACTGGTGGCCGACGGGAGCGCACAGGCGATAGTTACTAGCAAGCATCAGGATCAATTCGAAGCTGTAATAGATAATGTAGTAAACGCTGCTAGGAAACGATTTCTCGTAGTAGAACAAAGTAAACAATCAATTCTCGATGCGATGTTGACAGCAAGCTAATATTAGAGTTACTTGATGGATTTCGCTCACATTTCTACATCATGTCACCGACACACCTGGTTTTCTGAAATTTGGAAAGTTCGACATAACAATGTTCATCAGATATCCCTACTTCAAACGCTAATTACTCAGCGATTATTGACCTATAGTTGAAATCACATAACCCGTCAAACTGTCGCACAAAATACAGTCTAAGAGATACGGAGGCTTTTGGTACGGATGTCGTTTCGATATTTGTAATGATCGCTACTGATATTCGAGATGATCTGCTGTCATCCAAAACCTAACATGCTTGTGCCGATAGCCCGAAGTCGCACAAAATCTGATCTACAATAGGACCACGAGGAATATCGGCTAAGGGGATATGAATGAATGACGTAAGCTCTTCCTGGGTTACTAAGTCATAAGCATCATCCGCCGTCCGTCAATAATCTCGAAACCTCTAAATGTGAACCTCTAGTCTCATGTAATATAAGTTTCGGTTTCTTGCCAAACATTGCTCTCTACATATATAAATCAATTATCCATAGGTTGTCATGGGTTAAACTAATATGTACACCTTGAATTGCTTCGCTTGAACGTATCCTCGTCAAAGTGCAGACTGTATCACTGTTCCATTTCACACTTCTCAAACTAGACCTCTAGCCAAGCTGTTCATATCATGTTGCCCGGAGCTTTGTCACTCATCAACAACACAATATCTGTCTTTTCGGTACGAGAACAAGCACAGGCCGAAGCAAACATAGCCATCAATCCAATTACTGAGGCTATCAAGACCAATCACACAGGATACTTCTCAGATCCATACCATATCCCATACAAGAACAACCAAGGAATATATATTTCGGGAACGACACATGCATACTTGACATGTGGGAAGATTTTGCAACCGAAGTGCGCTGACGAGCCTTTCAAAACCGACAAGTATCGTAGCAGCCAGAAGCTTCAGGACAAAGCCAAGCAGAACGGTGTGTCGATATGCGGCGGTGGCGCTGGAATCCATCGTCATCAGTCTGCAGATAGCTCATGGGATGCAGTGGTAACGCTGCACATTAGGAACTCATCCTCTTGCGACGGTCATTGGGACTGGTCTGTCATTGTCCATGCCCATCCAGAGAATAGTGATGATATTTCTGTCCCACCATCTTCCTGGATTGGCGACGAGCTGCTTGTTGGGTCATTCTCAAAGAACACAGACGCCAATTACGACGGCAAATACTTCCTTACCCCTGAAGGCAAACTATACCTAGTCTATCAGAAGCAAAAGTCTACGAGACCGAAACGCGACGGCGTGGTGGCATGGTCCATGGATAACCCAAAGACTAAGACACCCGGGACTGGGCCGACGTTCCTGCTGCTCCCTGATGTTAACCTCAACTCAGAGAACTACGTTGCTGGTAACGACAGCTTCAAACTTATAGAGACAGGCAATATCCGCGCCATCAATGGCAAGTTTGTGATGGCCTATTCTGTCGGCGCCTACAATCACAATACTTATAAATCAGCAATAGCGTTTTCCGACACATTTCTAGGTCCATACCGCAAGGTGATGAAAGAAAACCCAGACAATCTGTGGAACTCTACTGGGCCCAATGAGGTGTTCTATATTCTGCAGGCTGAACATAAACATGCTGGCTGGCATTACGTGGGTAAACGGGTCTTGGCTCCGGGAGTGCCCACGGTGGCTGACATTGGCCCAAACGGATGGGTCTTGACGTTTGCTGGCTATCGTCCACATGATACTGGAACAAACGACGGCGCACCTCCTTACCACGCAAACCATCGTCGGCCATTCTACGTTGACCTTAATGTGAATATCCCTGATGATACATCCGTAGAGAACGCAACAGATGCTGAGCTACGACGATGGATCACACCGGCATCAGCATGAGTTGGATGTACTACTTTAAGTTAAATCTCAGTCCGAGTTCTGACTAGGGCTAGATTAATTCAAACAAGTTCTCAGCGTCAGCTGGCTGTCAGCTGGTCGGCACCTGATTGCTTACATTGTTTAAATGACTCATATCTCTCTTCATGGAATAGTAACGGCATCATGTAGATTTGAACTTGTATGCTTCGCATTGCTTGATATTTGCCACATTATCGTCATGAAGACTCTGGGCTTTTTAGGTGGCATGAGCTGGGAGTCGACGACAACCTACTACCAAGTTATCAACCAGCGAGTTCGTCAAGTCAAGGGTGGCCTGCATTCATCACGATGTATCGTGTTTTCTTTTGACTTTGCTGAGATCGAGCAGCTCCAACATACAGGCAAATGGCAAGAAGCCGGCCAGCTTCTTAATGCAGCAGCTGCAAAACTCAAACTAGCAGGTGCAGACGCCATTGTACTATGCACGAACACCATGCATTTTGTCTCTGATGGAATCGAAGCGGCGTCTCAATTGCCGCTCATTCACATTGTTGATCCAACTGCAGAGAGAATCATCAAGGCTGGTTACAAGTATGTCGGACTGCTGGGCACGTCTTTCACCATGGAAAAGGACTTTTACAAAGCGCGGCTTGGTGAAAAGCATGGGCTAGCGGTGCTCATTCCAAATGAGGAGGACAGAAAGACCGTGCACTCCATCATCTACACTGAGCTTGTAATTGGTGTCATCAATGATTCTTCAAGACAAAGATATTATGATGTCATCAGAAATTTGCAAAAGGCTGGAGCAGAATGTCTTATCCTGGGATGCACCGAAATCGGTCTTTTGGTTGGTGATGATAGCGAGCTTCCGCTTTTTGACACGACCAAGATTCATGCAGAGGCTGCAGCGGATTGGTCGATGGAATTAGAATAAGACTTGAAATCACGATTCGAATTTACGTAAATAGAACTAATCTCATTCAAATGGGACTTCCCGATCCCAGCCGTTGATGGGTATGTTGAACAGACAGCCACGTTTACTTCGCCCTTTACGACTTTGACCATAAAACTTGGAGGTCTCTCGTTCATTCTTACTCAGTCTTATAATGTGGCGAGAAATCATATCGTAGAACCAGTGGATCCTATTGTACGTTAGTCAAAGTGCTATCAATGGCACATAGAGTCGACCCTACCGGACCAGCTCTGCCCTGTATCGCCTGCGGATTTTCCTCACACATTCTAGCCATCTTGTATATTAGATGATCTGGGATGATGTCTTTTGGGTCGCTATATACTAGTTTCATAGTTCGCTGCGAGACGGGATCAATGTAAGATTGCCACTTCTCCCGGCGAACTCGGTTGTACACTTCGAGGATAGATTGATCCGCTTTATCATCATTGATGGCAGTCAAACAGTCGGCCAATGAACCCACATCAGCGATACCGCCATTAAGGCCTAATGCGCCGCTGTGATATGCAATAAGCCTAGGCGTCAAAAAAGAGAGATTGATGGATGCGGTCTAGGCTTTCCACTTACTATGGACAACAGAGATGAGCTGCATCGGCAGCAAGAACCACTCGACCTTTAACCATACTATTCGCCAATCGCTGATGAATGTGATATGGTCGAGCTGCTAGTACTTCGAATGGAGGAGCTTCGGATTGACTGCTCAACAGCCTTCCTATCTTATTAGGAGCATTTGCGACAAGTTCCTGGTCCGTTGTAGCCGAGTCCTGATAAATTACCCGCCAAAAGCTGGTTTCGCCTGGCAGAGCAAATAGAATCCATGCATCCATTGGATGAATGAACAAGTTGGACTCTTCAATGTCTGGAAATCGCAGTGATGCGTCACATCGAATCTTGACTTTGAGTCAACATCACCGATATAGTGGCAATAGTGCTTGGACTCACATCTGCAGCCACGAGTTGCTTATCCCAGGTAAAGCCTTCCATGGACCCGGAGCCAAACACAGACTTGCGAACGGTACTAGAAGCGCCGTCACAAGCAGCGACATAAGTCGCTTCCATTCTCTTTCTTCCACCAGGCGTATTAACATCCACCCACGCTTTGGTGGCATCTTGGCCGACGCTGACAACGTCATGGCCAACCAAAATCTCAGCTTGGTCTGTTCGAGCTAGATGGTGCTTGATGATTCCAGTCAATCCCTTGACACTCATGAGAAGAGTGTCGTTGGCCGGCATGCCAAAGAGTCTTTTGCCTCCATCGGCAGCATCGCGCCAGCAAACAGACTTCAAACTATGGGCGGCTGTCTTGAAATCCTCTAT